TCCAGCTTCTTTGTGCGCAGTAGTACTATGTACCCGGCGTTCTTTAGGGCAATCAAATACTTCAGGACAATGATAACATTTAAACATTCTTTTTGTAGGAGTTTTCCTATCTCGATCTAAAAATAAACTTGATGTAAAATGTGTAGCTAAAGATCTGCTATCTAATAGGGGGCCTGCAACTTCATTATCTGATCCATCAGATTCTTCCCAACTTTCACGTGCCATTAAATCATAAGATGTTGACATTCGTGATGATTCTTGACCAGCATATAACTAAATGCACAAAATAAATTTATTATAAATATAATATTTTTAAAAAATATAACAATTTAAACAACTTAAAAATATCTAATATATATAATAATTTTTATTATTATTATTATAATAATAAATAATATAATAATAATGAAAAATAATGTTTTCAATTTATGTATTATAAAAATTTTTTTTTAATTTTTATTATAAATGTCAATAATATATCTATACATACCTGCCAAGCAGATTGTTCTGTACATCCATTGCTTTCTTGTTCTGATAATTCACCTCTGGGTGGCATAGTTTCATCAGCTCTCATATTAATACTTTTAACTTCTTCATCTACACCTACTCCACCTTCACTACTTGCCATAGATTGTTGACTGGTTCCACTAACTGCTTTTTGTGAAGAATCACTTATGAATGTACTAGGAACTAAGATTTGAAGCCCATCAAATTCAAATACATTCATTGGACCTGCATGGGCATCTTCATTTAAACTAAGAAGTTCCATTGATTGCTTTTGTATAATTGATTTTGAGTGAAAATTCTTTGAATCAGAACTACTTGCAACATCATTAGATTCTGATAAATTTATATGATTACTTTTATTTGGCATATTATATGAATCCACCATTGATATTGATTGCTGAGAATGTTGTGAATGAATTGTAGAAAATGAACTTATATGTTCAGTAATTCCAGATTGATATGCAGAATTTCCTTCTATTTTTTTTTCATTTTCACATATAGAAAGTTCTAAATGATCAGTTTTTACATCTTGTTCAACCTGAGAACAATCAATAGGATCCTTTTCTGGTGATTCATCCATTGCTCCATTACTATCTTCATCATTACTTAAACCATTAGTATCCATATGACAAAATGAATGCACTGATGCAGGTGAACATGGTTTACTAAGATCCTTTCGAACTCTTAATACAGATATACCACTACTTGCAGATAATGGAGTATGTGATCTAACATTATCTCCATTTTCACCATATTTAATGAAAGGAGTATGTGGGCTAGGTATTTCTTCTATTTCCATATCTGCTTCATCAAAATTATCTTCTGCTTCATTTTTTTCATCTTCATCATCTTCTTCATCTTGCAATGTATTTGCATCAAAATTATTTGGATAAAAATTAAGATTTTCATTTGAACTAAATTCTGAACGAACTGAGTAAGTTCTATGAGGTCTCTTTCGTACAATTGGTGATGCAGGTGCAGATAAACTATTTTTATAATGGTATGAAAGACAAGAACTTTTATTTTCATCATTATCTATATCAATTTCTGAACTTTCACTAAGTTTTATTTTTATGTCAGATTCACAACTATGTTCATGCTCAATGGAATTATTACTGATTGTTTCATGAATTACACTTTCTGCTCTTTTAGGAGAAAGACTTTTCTTTGTACCTTCATTCTTTTTATCATCTTCAGAATTAGATTCTTTTTGTTGTGTATTATTAAATTCATTTTCCATAATAGTGATTAAAAGACGTTCTAATTGTTCTACTTCACGCTGAGCTGGTGCCTTTACTGTATCTTCTAAGGGCATTTCTGCAGAGGTACCTTCATTTTCATTTATTTCTTCTCTGTGAGGAACTTTTTCATTAGTTGCTTTTTCAATCTCATTTTCTGTTATCATTGATGATACTTCAGGCGTAATAATTTTATTGTTATCATCATCATCTTCATATCTGTGTACATATCCTTGTATTTCTGATGCTTCATAATGAAGAGATTTACATTGTACATCTGTAGTAACAACACATGATGATTCTCCATCATCAATATCTGGCAATACACTCTCAACTTTATCATCTGTAGTATCATTGACATTACAAGTAATTGTCACTGATCTTGGAATGTTATCATATTCATTTTGCACAGTATGTTGCTCTGAAGTACTTGAATTATGGGTTTCTTCTACCTCTTGATCTATTTGAATTGTACTAGTTTCACTTTCATTTTGCTGCATAGAGTTATCTTCATTTAATGATGGAGGAGAAACTGGAAGATTAATATCTGGTAACACTTGTTCAGACTCCTGTTCTGATTCAGGTAAAATCTCAGGTAAAATTTGTTTTGGCTCGGAATTATTTACAGGTACAGCAATGGCAGTTCTACCATTTGTTTCACCAGCCATAGTCATTACTGGCCTGACTCTAGCTGAATTAGGTATGGCTGTGACTGGTGAAATCATTTGAACAGTTGGTATTTGTTGCTGCTGGTACATACCATATGGATTATAAAGCATTTGCATCATTTGATTAGCTTGTGGAGCCATTGCGTATTGTGGTATCATCATAGTGCCATTATTTACAAACTGTTGATAACTAAATGAAGCAAATTGAGGTGGCATCACAGTACCAATAGGTGGACACTCAAAAATAGGTCCTATAGGATATGGAGATTGAGCTGATAGATGAGTATTCTGTGCAACTTGAGGTGTATTTTGGGGTGATTGCATAGCCGGAGATGCTGGAGGTACTGATGATGACAATTGTGCCTGATGCACTTGTGAGGCATTGTTACTAGCTTTAATAAGAGCTTCAATAACTTGTTCTTTTGGATGAGTGTCCAAATGTCTTTGTAAGCTAATACCCTCACGTAGATAAAGAGTGCATACTGGACAAGCCACTGCACCTCCTGATGCTCCATTGTTTGTTGTATCCATTATGCCTGAGGTATTTTGTTTATACATTTAACTTTTTAACTATTACATTGAACACAACTAATGTAATGAAAATTTCTGTAAAATATCCACAATGAAGTAGTAACACCACTTTCTTCTTTTTGTAATTGACGTCTTTGCTGTTACTGCCGTTACTATCTTTTTCGTCGTATCCGTCACGAATATCGTTCTAGTTGTTTTTGCTATCTTCGTAATCGTAGTGGTTGTCACTGCCACTGCCTTCGTTATCACTTCTAC